AGTTTTCTGGAGGTATATATATGCAGCCAATATATAAATCACTGCTATGGTTTAATAGCTTTTTATCAATTTTACACCAGATAATATCATTCATATTATTTTCTGTGTTAATTCTAGTGATGAAATGTTTTAATTTGTCCTTGAACAAAACAAAATGTGGTATATGTTGCCAAGGTAAAATTTAGTTTTAGATGAAAAAGTTATAATTGTTGAGTTTACGTACACCATACTGTATGGTCTCTTGACTACTGCAATATTGAAACACCAGGTTCATAAGTCTGTCTGTCTGATGTACATGCTCATACCACCTACTTCTTTCTCATGTTTCTGTCTCAGTTTTTGGTATACTTACAGCGTATAAATGCATGTAGTCATCTGGTGTGGGTATCAATCCAACATTGTTTTTTTGTATGTAGGAAAATGCGAAGCAACTGAATTAGATATAAAATACATCACAATCAATGTGGTAGTCAATAATAGGTTATGTTAGGTTAGCTTAGTAGGTTTCTGTATTATGTTACTATGTTCCTACTTATAACTACCAGTAGTATGTTTCTAGATTCTGTTACCAGATGCACTTTACACCTAAGTTATTAACATGTGACTATTTCCAGGTGCCAGAATATATTTATAGATCAGCTAGACATTGGACCGAATATCGCCAAGAACACAGCATTGACAGAGAATGTCTTCATGATGATAGTGTGTACTGAGTTGAGAATTCCACTGTTCCTTGTTGGTAAACCTGGAAGCTCAAAATCACTAGCAAAAGCAATAGTAGCAAATGCTATGCAAGGAGACAATGCATCAACAAATTTGTTTCGCACATTGAAACAGGTATTCCATTGAAACAAGCATGTTTATTAGTCCCCGTTCGGACGCAGTCCGAAAACAGGGACTTATGTTTTGACTTTCGTGTGTCCAGCGTGCGTGTGTGTGTGCGTGTGTGCGTGCGTGCGTCCGGACCTGTATTTTAGAAATGCCTGGACCAATCACAATCAAATTTCACACATACATCATACATGATATTATACATATGCACATCAATTTGTTTCACGATCTGTTTCAAGATGGCTGAATGACGGCCATTTTGTGCTAAAAAATCATAAATATCAAGCATTTCTCGGCTGTTTACAGATGGATTTTGTTCAAACTTGATATATACATTAGACATTATGGGACCTTGATGCAAATAATTTTGTTTTTCAGATAACATTCTAAATGGCCTACTGGTGGCCATTTTGTTTTAATGAAGGGGTTTCTAGACCTATAACTCCGACTTGTTTTGACTGATTATGTTCAAATTTTAAATATTCATTATACATCATGTCATAGATTTACAGATATATTGGTTTGACGATCCTATTTAAAATGGCCGAATGGTGGTCATTTTTGTGCTAAAAATCATCAAATATCAAGCATTTCTGGCATTTATGGATGGATTTCGTTCAAACTTGGTACATACATTAGACATTACAGGTTCCTGATGCACGTCATTTTATTATTCAGATTGGATTCAAAATGGCTGACTGGCGGCCATTTTGTTTTAATGATTGGGCTTCTAGGGCCATATCTCTTAAATGCTTTGACTGATTATATTCAAATTTTATATATTCATTATACATCATGTTATATATATGTACATGTATTCAAAATGGCTGATTTTGAATGTTTTTCCAGAGCAATATCTCTCAATATGGACAAGTACTTGTTTGACAATCAGATACAAATGTCAATAATTTTAATGTTAAAAAAATCATATTCCTGACATGGTTATATTCCAGCTATATTACTATAAACAAAACTATATATCTTAAATTTGATAACTGACAGGGACTGTGCCATGCATGGCTTGTTTGTTAGTGTATAGATTCCATCAAAATGAAGGGTGCTGCACATTCACGGTTTTAGCAACTACCGCAGTTAGGATTTTGACATATATGTGGTCTTAGAAAATAAAACAAAGAACATTTTGCGTTGCATCATGTTATTCGTTATAGCATAGCTAGCATAGAATAGAATGGAATAGAATATTTAATTTGACTCGAAATAATGTATGAAATTACATTTATGACCAAAAAAACGATCAAAAGAAAAAACAATGTCACAGACTACAATAGAAAATAAAACAAAACATTTAACAATTAGCAAAGACTCCTAGACTGTTGGCAATAAAACAATTTTTTTAACTCAACAGTTTTTTTTAAACATGATCAATGTTCTATTACAAAAAGACCTTGTCCAGTATATTATTATCAAATAAAAAGCAAATGTGCTTTGAGACTACTAAATAATTGTGTACATGATTCAAATACAAAAATATAGAATTTTTTTCATTCATAGGTGCATATGATATCGTATCAGTGCAGTCCATTGTCTACACCAGATGGTATAATTAATACATTTAAACAGTGTGGTCGTTTACAAGAAGAGAAGGACCTAGATCGTTTTGTTTCAGTAGTAGTATTAGATGAAATTGGTCTAGCGGAGGATTCACCTAAATTTCCATTAAAGGTAAGATACATTGTTTGTTTTATTAAACATTTAATAGTTTGAACAAAGTCTTATTATTATTTGTTTTGTGCATTGGTAAATAATATTTATCAATAATAATGGTATTTAGAAGAAAGGATTAGTTAATTAAATAATATCAATTATAATGTCAAGTCCATGTGCTAGGGGAAATGGAAGCATGTGATCGATATCAAACGTGTTTAAAACTAATGACAAGCTTCATCTTTCTGCCCACTTCAGTTCGCTTGTGAGGCTTTAAGCAAGTACCACTGAAGGTCAAGTTTAAAGTGTGGGTCAATTTGTTTTTAAAAATGATTAAAAGACATTGACAAATCACCAGAAATTGTGCACTTGGTCCAGTTGATTTAATTATCTATACTGGCTGCAATAAAACAATTAAACACACATCATAGAAGGTGACTGACACAATACTTTAATAACGACCTTTGCAAGAGGTAGGAAATAATTCCCATTGTCTGTGATCTGTACACTTCAGTTTTGTTGTTTTCCATAGCAGTGTTTTAACATGTAGACATATGTTGAGAACTATTGCCTGTACAACTATGCAAAAAACATTTGTCCAAAAATATAGATAAATCACTAACTTATCGGTATTAAAAAAATGAATTTCATTAATATGCTGTTCAAATGGGTGTTTTAGCAAGTAGCAGGTGAAGTAGCTCAGCTGTCTTACTAAAAATTGAGTTGATAATGTTCTGTATGTTGAGATTAACAATTTGCCATGATTATTAGTTTTTCACAGTGTTCTTGCCATATCACAACCATGATAGTTTATTTGGTTGTTGTCATGGCAATTACAATTTTTATCATCTTGTTTCAAATCTGATTGACGTCAAGTTATTAACTCTACATACAAGTATCAAATCAATTGAGCTGAAAGTTTGTAAGAAGTCATCGAAAATAGCATTTTTTCCAAAAATGACCAAAATAGAGAATTGAAAATATTGTCACAAAATGAACAAATCTGACCAAAGGTACATACATACATACCATGTATCAAAATTGGCCTGGTCTCTTTCAAGTAAAATTCAAAATTGAATTAATTTATTAAGACATAACACCCCCAAAGGGGATGAAAAGTGTTACAAATCAGATATTAGTAAAAGAAAAATAACTACATGAAGAGTAAGGAGACATAAATCAAAGATATTAGTAAATAAAAAAAAATATTGAAACTACAAATGCAAATACTGAAATTCGTCTAAAAAAATTATAAAAATTTGTATACAAGGAATGTCTTTCTGGCTTAATTTATGAGATCCTGCTGTCTTATATTAATACAGTTTTTTAAATATTGTGCTAAAGGAATTGACATTTTCTCATTAATTAGTAATGATATGAACTTATTTATTACTCAGTTTGTCAAAATTTGGTATACCCTGGTACATTTATTAGCTACAATGTAAAGTTTTAACCTTATTTCATTGTAACAACTACAATTTAAGACAAAATGTTGTTCATCTTCAAAATGGTCATTGTCGCATATATTGCAGATTTTTTCTTGAATATTCATGCCCGTATGCTGGCCTGTTTACATTTTCAGACTGTGGTTTCCAAGTCTAAACTTCATTTTTACACTTACCAAGTGATGACCAACCTACCAAGTGACGACCCTCACTATGTTTCATAATTTATATTATTATTTAATCGAATTTAAATCAAGTATGTGTAGTTTAGGGTTAGTAAAGGGGGAGATATTTGTACCATACCTACCCCCTCTACGAACCCTAAGCTTTGCAAACATTTCTATGTTAAGTCACAGAATATATGATATTATTTCATTTTTATTGCATTGCATTGTAATTGAGTTTAATTAAACTTCAATTAAATCGCAGAGTTAAGTCAAAATGTAATGCTACTATATTAAAAGTTAATTCAACTATATTAAAAGTTAATCCAATACTGGTTGTCACAACGATCAACAATCTTGGGGGTTATTCTGTAATTATCATTACATCATTCTGGGGACTTCGACATAGTTTATTGTTAAAAACGGCAAGTCCAATTGCTTTTGCAATTGCTTGCTTGGTACTGCAATTGAGTTATTGTTTCCATCAATTCAAAAATGTTAACTCTGTCTTCATGAGAGGTTCTGCGCATGCGTCACAATCACTAACTTCGAAGCGGTCGGCTCCAGGGAAAAAGAAAAAAAAAACTAGCCTAAAAACAACATATTATAACAAAATAATGCCTCAAAAGAAGAAAGCAACAACCACAGGAAAAAATGAAACCGATACGACAGAGAAGGAGGTTGACGAGATGCTAACAACGAACAACAAAACTTGTGGAGTCTCAGGACCGCATTATCCAAGATGGCGACCTCGAGAAAGCCATGGAACTCGCGGAAGATCAGAGATCAGCGGTAGTACTCAGACTGTTGTTCTCAATCAGTAACGAAGTCTCGATAGGAGCAACTTACAGAAACAACCAAGAAAGTATCGGACATTGAAGTATATTTAAACCAGATGAGTCATCGCATCGACAAAGTTGAGAAAAGCCTAGAACACGTGACCAAAGCAGCCGATGTAGAAGAACTGGCGGACAAAATAAAGGAGCTAGAAAACAGAATAAAGATAACAGAAATAAAGAATGAAGATTTAGAAAACAGAGGGAGAAGAATAAACCTAAACTTCTTCAACTTTGAAGAAGGGATAAAAAGAGAAGAAAAATCCTGTGACCAGTTCATAGTGAAATTCATCATATCCCACATGGTAGTGAGTGGCATTGGAGAACGTGTGGCCATCCAACGCACATACATGTAGGGTACCAGCGCAGCCACTTCGATCAGGGAAACCACGGCCTATAAAGGTGGGTTTCGTGGACGCCAGTATTGCCAGAATTATTTGGTTGGCTGCTCCTAAATGTCTTCAGAACAACCCGTATGCTAGAAAGGAAATATTCAGGACCGACGATGTGAGCAGGAGTGTACTAAACGAAAGAAAAAGGCTGGCTGTCAACGAAAGGAATTTCAAAGTGAAAACCCAAAGAAAAAGT